AGTGCTTGGGACTCGCACAAGATGGGAACCCTGATCATCGCAGTTTGTAGGTATACAAAATAACACAGCGCATGTCCTGTGGCGAGTTTCTCTCAAACCCCTATCATTATAAGATAACATTCACATGGAGTGCATGCATACAGTTTCACATTGTACGCATTGGAGCACATGTCGACAAGACCAAACGGAGTATGGACCACAGAAAAGACCCGCATGATCGGAAAAAAAACCTTATTAGAACAAGTAACTTCACCTAAATCGATTCCCTTGCTGTAAATTTGGCTAAAAGCTTAGAAATGCTACTCTCCACGAAAACGACGATAAACGCTATCAATCAAATGAAACGCCAACGAAATCGGAAAAAACACGTACACCTTTTGGTCAAATAACATGGAGACATGATTTTGTTTTCCTCTTTTTCTTTAATATTGGTTCCACAATACTTTGTACAAAAAAAAAACTGGTCGGAACACTAAGCACGAAAGCTCTAAAAAGAAAGGATAAAGCTCCCGGCGCTGATCAATCCCCGAGGGATGCGTCATACATTCGACTTCCTCAAGCATCGTTGGAGGTGGCTGAATGCATATCTGGCCTTTACAATGACTCGTGGTGGCCTACTGATGTATCGAACCAGTGCTGCTATTCTCGCAGACAAGTCTGGTACCAATTTGACGACCCCGGAGGGATGGAGGGATTGGTGGGCCATGTGTGTTGGGATCGGTCCCATGTGCACTGTAGGGCACCTCCGACCACTGCGCTACATGCGCCCCTTTCATATATAAGAAAAATATCTATAAATACGTATTATAGATTACTGCTATTTGTGACTTAACTCTTTTACATATAAGATTATGCGGCGCTCCTCAATCCTGAATAAAAACGGATTAAAGGACGAGCGACGCCGATATCGTTTGATTTAGCTGGGTTTCAGACAGGCTGAAGTGAAGGTGATCCTGTTTCTTTGTGCTGGATGCTTCTGTGCATGATTCTCAAGTGAATGTGAATTCAGCTAAATGCCTTGAATCATGAAGCTTGGAAAGATACAAAATGTTCCAACAGTGGTGTTCGGAAAAAAGCAGCCTTAAGCAAAATTCTTGAAATTTGAATTAAATAACTGTCTTCACTGAAAAATTGGAAAGCTAACCATGGCTACACTATTCTGACGTTTCCATCCGGTAGCTCAACTAAGTGTAAACGAATATCAGGAATCACCACTGTCCTGATATCAAACTAGTAGCATAATCGCAAATCTCCATCTGATCCATAAGTGTGACGAATGCCTGGGTGGTGAGGACCAGAGGAAGGCTTCAGCTAGGCTGACCTCGGGACTCCAGGGAACCTCACAATAACTAAGCCAGAAAATCCCCAGAATGGAAATGTGGCCCGCACAACCAGTGAAGACGGGCCTTCCTAGTATCCAAGTGGGTATTCTGATGCATTTATTGAACAACTGGAGGCCATTTAACACCAAATTTGGTGTTCGGTAGAAAAGAATGGAGATTATGGTGTTCCTCTGTGTCATTTGACGAGCATTCCAAGTTATATAAATAATAAATCCAAACACCAATTAAACTTCGGTAATGCATTCAAGACCACGAGCAGGGCGCTGGTTCGACCCCACACCAGCATACCTCTCATCACCACTTCCGAAAATTGGTACCACAATTTGGGAACAGCTCACTCCCTGCAATCCAAGTGGGAAGGCACTAGCCAGGCTATTCCAGGACTCCAGGGAGAATCGTCTCGACCACCATTCAACGACATTCATAAAGTAGACGAGAATTCTCGAGCAATAGCCGAGTCCATGCTCAAAAAGTTCGAAGACATTCGTGGATGGCAGATGCGAGGAAACAAACAGAACAAAAAAAAGTGATGGACCCTATACGAATGTATGCGAAGACGGTCCGTGTAAAGAAGCACTCAGGAAGGAATGGAGTAATCGGAATCACAACACTAACCACGACTCCTCGAACTGATGTGAATCACACCCATTTTAGCCCATTATAATCACCCATAAAGGCGCGTGTAGCGCAGTGGTCGGAGGCGTCCTGCATCACACACGTGGAATCGATCCCCGCGCCGATGGCCCACCAAGGGTTCCATCCCTTCGAGGTTAGCAAATTGGTACCAGACTTGTCTGAGACGATAGCAGCACTGGCACATCAGTAGGCCACTGCGAGTCATTGTAAAGGTAGATATGCATTCAATTACCTCCAAACGATGCTTGATGAAGTCGAATGTATAACGCACCCTCGGGGATTGATCAACGCCGAGAGCTTTATCCGCCATTCAAAAGTGTTAAACTTTGCTGGAATGAAAACTGAACTATGAAGTTAAATGTTAAAATGGTCTCACAATAGAAATATTCCAACTTTCCTGTTCTACCACGTGATATAAATTTGTAAAGTCAGAAGACAGTAAAGTTTAGCAGAACGCAAAGAAGAAAAAAGAGGAACCGTCTTCCGTGGAGTTTTGATGTCCTGTCTGTTCAGCAAGTTTCTTCTTTAAGCAATGAAGCAAGTACAACGAAAACAAATACAATAAGTCCAGTTAATAAGTTGTTCATCGATCGAGAAAAATGGAAATCGATTAGCTGATCGATGTAAATCAACTGAAAGCATGACGAGTTATATGTTGCCAGAATATATTAATGCGATATATGGCTGTTTGGGAAAGTTTATTTCTCTTTATAAGTGAGAAAAGATATGCCAATATATGGAACTAAAAAGAAAATCCTAAGCCAGAAAGAGTGGATGGAGGCGAAAAAGAGAACGAACGGCAAGTTCGCGTCCTTTAAAAGTGCGCGACTAATCGATTGTCTGATGTCAACCACGTACGCCGTTTCGCCATCAGTCATGCATAGACCTGTAGCGAACAGGTTAGAGGTGATGGGACTGAGTGGAACCTGTGTAGAACATGTAGAATATAACTACCAAAGACGACTCAGCCTATGCTTACTGGTTTGTCATACTATACTAACACATACGTGTGGCGCAGTGGTCGAAGGCTCCCTGCCCTGGAATCGATCCCCGCGCCCGAGAGACACAAAGCCTTCCCTCTCTCCGGGGTCGACAAATTGGTACCAGAATTGTCTGGAACGATGGCAAGATTGGCTCGATAGATCGGTAGGCCAACGCGAGTCATTGTAAAGACCAGATATGCATTCACTCAACTCCAACGATGCATGATGAAGTCGAATGCATAACGCATCCCTCAGGGATTGATCAGCGCCGAGAACGTTACCCTTTATTATTAACACATACACAACCATCGTTGATTTCAAGCAGACAAGAAAATCGTGAACTCGTCCGCTATTTAAACACCCCAAATGATGGTTTTTTCGGCAGTAAACGATAAATTTTCGGAAGCTAGAAGAGTTATGGGGTTGAGAACATAGAAAAGTTATAAAAGCGGCTTTGTTTTAACCATCTAGAGATACAACGTTACTGCTGCAAGCTACATCTAGCCGTATTTTACCTGTCAAATACATTACTGCTAGAATTTGGAGCACCTGCTAGTTATGTCTTTTCTTCTGCCTTTACTTCTACTATGGGTGATCATGACCCATCGTTAGAACTGGAAATGAGAAAAAGAGAACGGTAACTCATAAGCGATTACTTGCTTGGATACTTGGATAGCCGGTCTTTACTAGTTGTGCGAGCTCTAACATAATTTCCACTTTTTTCGGAGTTTTGTTAATTTGGAAAATGGAAAAAATGGAAAACAACATGAAGGAGGAAGTAGGTAGATGAAGAAGAACGGCTTGGGTCGCATTCGGGCCTCTCAAAGAAGTCACCGCCCAACTGAAGGACCCGAAAATCCGCGCTCATCTCTTTGATTCTACGGTCCTCCCAGCGCTCTGTTATGCTGCAGAAACGTGGGTTGATACCTCAACTACGTCATGAATGTTTTGAACTGCTCACAGAGCGCTTGAGCGATGTCTTCTGAAATATAGCCGACACTCAATATCTAGTCGGAATGCGAAGCTCTGACATTCAAAATCTGTCACATCTTCGAGATCCTGGAGAGTATACATCGACAGCGAAACATAAAAGGACCGGTCACATAATGAGAAGAACAGACGACAGATGGACGAAAAGAACAGTAGAGTGGACTCCAAGAGAATGCAAACGCGCCTTGAACGGCCACCTACACGTTAGGCGGACGTGTTCCTAAACAAAGTTAATCATCTGTACCCACAGCTGCAATTGTTTTACAGATTACGGTATGAGACTCGCAAGCGCTACCATGCTCGAACAGGACCACCACCATGGACTACGATTGCGAGAGAAAGGAACGAATGGCATATATGCTGGGTTCCGCACAGCTCGTGAAGACGGACATCCAAGAATTTAAGTAAGCTTGTTAGTACATTTATTTATGTGATCTTATAAACTGATCTTCTTAAGCTGACACGAGGTTGGTACAGATCTTCGTTGTCGTTGTCGTTGTTTTGATGTTATTGATCGATGGCTGACGTTTTGGCGACTTCGCCTTCCTCAGAGCCTAGACGTACTTTATGTTAGAATACTTTTTATTATTCGGTGGAGAAGAACTGGCCCACACGTAACATCACGGTGAGTGGCCTTTCTGTTCAATATGGCGTCTATTTGAAAGTTTGATCTTCATTAATACTTTAACCTTCTTTTCCACCGAATAATAAAAAGTATTCTAACATAAAGTACGTCCAAGCTCTGAGGAAGGCGAAGTCGCCAAAACGTCAGCCATCGTTCAATAACATCAAAAACAACGACAACGACAACGAAGAGCTGTACCAACCTCGCGTCAGCTTAAGAAGATCAGCTTATAGGGGAGGTGTAACTCTTTTTGGGCTTCTGTAAATTGGAAGTAAAGATCAACCAATAATTTCAGAAATTAGCAAACTCAATAACTGAGCAGGATTTTGTTCAGCTTCGAACAGAGAAACCAGAATCGTTGTTCCATGACCGTTGAGGAAAATTCTGGAAGTTTGCTGTACATGAGCCCCTTGCTTTTCTGGTATGTCAGCTGAGGACTGCTTCGATTTCAACCTCAGTCGCCTTCTCATCGAATGTGACAATAAGAAGTCAGAGACGAGAAGGATGCCGTGGAACGTTCTCTGCTTTCTAACGAAGGTATGAAACGGTTGATGATATTTGTGGTGAGTGGTCAGGTGGTGTAATGGCTCAAAACCTCCTTCTCTTCTATGAAAACCAGAGTAGTAAAATGGACAATTAATAGATGGGTGCACAGAACTGCGAGATTCTTTCAATTCCTCCGTGTCCGGCGTTTTGGAGGTGGGCGTGAACGAAATGAATAGACATCACAACGTTGCTGAGATATTTGCAAAACTCTAGACCGCAGGTGTCTATGGTGGGGAACGAACGCGCTATTATCCTTTCCGGGGAGTAACGCGGAATCCGTTCTTATTACAGCACCTGTTATAGGAGAAAAAGGCTTGGATGTCTGTTGGCAAACCTCCACTTTATCGACAACGTAAGGTGTGGCAGACTGGACAGGTTGTACAAGATTAGGTCATTAACTGACTTTATCTGCAGGTACTGCATCGCAATAATACAGCCCTGGAAAGTACGTATGTATTGACGAACCCATCGTGCTGTTCAGAGACAGTGTCGTTTTCTGTATGTCCCACATAAGAGGCACAAGTATGCAGCTAGGGTATCTAAGCTGTGCGCGAGTTGGCTACAGTAGCGATCCCTCCATAACTGGAGATGTGACACATTGTGTGATTTTGTAGTTCATGCTGATTTGTTAGATAAAGGGAAGCATCTCTACATCCATAACTGGTGCTTGAGTCTTTCCAAGATTGAGGATTTACTTCACTGAACTACCACAATCACATCTATAGTTGTTGGAAGAACAAGAAGAGGCCTTCCAAGCAAGTCATCCACCGGAAATTTAGTAATGGACAGTTGCTGGCGCAACTCAACCGGAATGATATAATGGTGTTGGGGTGGAAAGGCAAGAAGGGTACTGTTATGCTCTTCACATTTCGCAATGCTAGCATTTACGCTAGAACATCAAAACCCGATGTAATTCAAAGGTACCACCAGCATCAGCTTTTCGTGGAGACAAGTGATTAGATTGCAGCGTACACTTGTTAGGACGACTGGTAACTGGTAGGTATATTTGTGTTTGTTCACGGTTCAGGCACATCCCTTTCTACCCAATACTTTAGGTACGTACCTCTGTTCTTCCACTTCATCAATGTCTGGTGAAGGGAGGATACACAATAAGCATATGACGAAAACCTCGCTGAAGTAATTGGAGATAGACGTCAACTAGCTTTATACTAGTAGACGTCATCCTGAATTGTACTAAATGCGGAAGTGCTTTGACACTGTCGACTTCGCGTGTTGTTGAACAAAGCGCATTTCATATGAGAGCCCCTTGCTAAGCCCATACTGACACACTGTGTAACCATAGCCAGAGACGAAACTCTACTGCAGAAGTGCTGCAACTACTCAAAATCACTTGAAACTTCTTCAAAAACTGCTGTTAAAGCCACACCAAAGCCCTATCTCAGTCAAGACCAGGCTTGCATACTATTTTCAATACATATAACAAGAATTCGCACTTTTTTCCTCTCCTTACGGCGCTTTAAGAAAAAAAAATGCAACCGTTTTCACTACACAGTAGGTTTGCCAACCAGCATCTCGTTGAACTAAAATTTATGCGCTCGTCATAACCAGATGTGAATTCGATTGGCCATGCATTTCTTCGATTGTACTCCGCTTTTCAGCTACTGAAGATTATAATTTAATTTATTCCTTCTCTTTTCTAAGCAAGTTCTCATAGTCATCATGTCATCGAACTCTGGGGAGAAATTGAACCTTTCTAAAGCCAGACATGAAGTTTTCTTCATCCGCACTCGGCACACATACAGTGAGTTCACCAAGGCTTGCCTTTCTGCACTTGTCGAACCGAGGACGAGGCAAAGAAGCAGTTCTTCGTGGATACCACAAGCGGAGTCCTCCCATATTCCATATTCCAAGAGTCTCGGCCACTAGATCGTACCGTCAGGTTCCCAAGCAGACACTGATTCTCCTGTACGTATGCATTGTTAGCATGGATCGTCACTACAATTGGTCCGGATCTAAGCGGTCCAGAACTGTTTTGCCATACTGTTAGCCTCCCAAAACTCGTTCTACTAATGCTGCAATATTCTGAGCTAGAGAAACGACACCTTTTTTTGTCATTTGCGGGGGCTAAGCTCTTCTTCGTTTGACAGAATTGATGTAGTCTGTGTGTTATTGCCGTGAGTAAGTTGTCAGTTTTTCGACATAAAAGATGTTAGAGCGGAAAGAGTACAGGGTCTTTTTTGGCTCGGCAATTAAATGGATTAAAACACTCATAGGAAGAAAAAGAATTGAGATATAAGCTAGAAAAATAGCAAACGAGCAAGTTTAATGCAAAACATAGCGAGTGTGAGGTTGCATATTATTGCAAGGAGTGGCTTGTTTGCTTCTTTACTTATCAAACTTGATAGAGCAAAACGTCCTACGTACATTCACATGATGGCTTCATTTTCATAGATGGAATCCCGTTGAAGGGTGGGTACAATGAAACCAAGAAGGTAAATATCACTCATAATTTGATGTTGTTTTAACTATTAAAAGAAAAAAGCTAAGATACAACTAACTTTTCTGTGGTTAATTAGTATGAAGAGCCAATGTTGCACAAAGACTGGGCAAAACTCCCAAGAAATGCTCGGGTGTTCCTAGAAAAGGTTTTCATTGTTGCACAGTCGTAGTCAAAATTGTGCTGTTTTTCAGTGATAAACGTAAAAAACTCGCAGAACCAGGTCCTGAACCGGGTGTTGTACTTGTGAAGCAAACCAAAGAATACAAAGAAAAAAAAGGTACTAGAACTTTTTGTATGATCTGATGTTAAATATCAGATCCGCGTAATTGCGTAATCCAAAACGACCGGTATGAACACCATAGTGACCATGAACGTTTGGACCATGAAACGGTATGGGCACTATAGTGTCCATTTTCAGTTTAGTGCGTTCTAGAACTTCTTTAGCTCTCGATGCATATTCATTCGATAGCTAATCGAAGGCAGACTAAAATAGTAGAGGTGAGACTAGGAAAACCGCTCTCCGTAGTCAATGGTTTGCATAGACCTCTGCGAAAAAATTCACTGACTGGTAATTTTACTAACAATAAACTGTTAACGACAACGACGACGAATACCATACCAACCTCGCATCAGCTAAAGAAGATCAGTTTATAAGATCATATAAACAAATATATCAACTGTCTATTCCGAGGTTTATAGAAAGTCGTTCTTTTGAGTTATTAACTGTTAGTCTATTTTAATTGCTATGATTATGGAATGGGCAGGTATAAAAAGCACCAAAATGGGCTTAACATAACTGCCAAAGCGTTTTAACTGCTTACTAGACAGTGTTTACATAATGAACAATGGTAGCGCATAGCAAATAGTACCACACCTATCATTCAAACCTATAAAACGATAATGGAAAGACTGTTCCATAATTCTTTCATGTTCACAATCCCTAAAGTACCCATAATTATCGATTGGATCTTTCCGGAATCCCGATATAGCCATCTAGTGGGCCTGCTAGTTTTTGGCAGAGGCAGTCATGAGTTCTTTTTTTTTGGATTGAAAAGTGCTCGCTGCAGAGAAGTGTGATACTAATTTCCCCACCCAGGTGGGATAAAATTACTGCTTGGCACAATGGGGAGTCGAACTAGGGCATTGTGCTTATTACTAAACGGTGTGTGTACCACTGTGCTATGCTCGCTTCCATTCCATTCCTAAACTATCAACTACAAATTTAACTGATCAACATTCAACAACAAGGTACTGCAATACTACTTCAGCGGTCGAAGTCTGAGTGAGCTCTAAACTTGACGCCAGTGCTTGGCTATAAATTCAGTATACATAATCTCTTTCGGTACTTCTTAATTCAGAGGACATCAGCTTATACCATTTTGTTTACATTCTCTGACTCGATGTCAACCGCTTATTTTAATTCTGTCTAAGAAAAATTTATAGTACGTGGTGAAATACAACCACAATCATGCTGAGATATTTGCAAACTCAGAAAGCTTGGTGAACTACAAACTCGTGATTACCCTTTCCGGTGGATCACGTGTTACCACTGAACTACTGAGGCCCTTGCTCTTACCTTCTCTCAGACAATTTTTTTATTTCTAATGGTGTCATTGGCTATCACCCGTCAGCGGGAATGATCTGGCAAACATAATACTGAGTCTTAAGCAATCGAATGGAGAACATCACAGTGAATTTAGCGGTAGTCAAGATTTATCTTAGCCCTTCCTTCTCTCCCTCCCTCTCCTTCTTTCTCTCTTTCTCAGAAAAATTTGTAGAAATTAGCTGATAATAATGAGTGATCTTAGGGCTAAACGGACTACGCGTTTTATAGGTATAGTCACCGATCGATACGTATACTTTTAACTGTTTTGCTGTCAGAATACTGTGAAGTGGCCTATTAAGTCAATTCTAGTCCGCTAAACTTCAAAATATAATCTTTTTTTAGAAAAACCGATCACAAAGCCGCTTTTTGGAATCATTTGTTAGGGAATGATCACCTGTATCACCTGTAGTCCCGTTGATCATCGAGTGATTCGACCGGGCGCCAGTAAATCTTTCATTTTTCCCTGTCGCGTGCAAGAGTAGCTCAGTGGGTTCTTCTCGCTCTAGGGGCTCGTCGAGCATCATATTTTTTTTCTAGGCTCTTCGTGAAAAACTCTGATCATCGGGTCGGTGGTCTTCCCGCAGTAGGTTTGACATCCCGAGGAATCCAATCACTAATGGCTCTTGTCCATCGGTTGTCATTCATACACATTACGCGGCCCACCTTATCTTCGACTGTCGACGTACAGAACGGCATCACTGATTTTTGATCGTTGACGCAGGTCGGAGCTTCGGATCCCATCCCTTACTTGTGTGAAACGGAATACTCCTAGCATCGTCCTTTCGAGTGCGCCTTCGATAACGCTGAGTGATCTTTCATCCTGCTTACGCAGCGACCAGATCTACGGATACGTTAGGGCAGGAAGTACCATTGAGTCCAAAAGGTGGGCACGGGGTCAGGTGTTCTTTGTTCTCTTCACCACATCCTCGATGGTCTTGAAAGCTTCCCAGGCCGCTCGTTTCCTTCTGCTCAGTTCGGAAGCTAAGTCGTTCATCATAATGATTTTCCGACCTAGATAGACATAGCTGGAGCATTCGGAAATATTCGTTTCGCTGAGCGTGAATAGGGCACACGAAACAATCTAGACAGCTTCAATTGACACTGAGACTTCAGCAGTCTCTACTACCCAACGCTGCGAAGTTGGGGGCTCTTTCGGGGTCAGGGGAATGAGGCCCGTTTTTTTTTACTGCGTTTAACATTTTGATATCCACGTATAGCTTGCTGGGTTCTGAACGTGGCGGCTGGGTATACTCACGGGTAGCTTGCCAGGATCTTCCAGAGTGGACATGGAGCTTATTTGTTGGGGGCGACTCCTAATCGCCTCCGATATACTTCCCTGTTACTTGATTGTAGGCTTTTGGGCGAATTAACTCGTAGAATATAATCCGCATAAGCGAGAACATAAGCGATATGCATGAATACGCCTAGCAAATACAGAAAGTATGCGCCAAATCGGCGCAGCAGAAACAGGGAGTCCATCCCCTGGATCCACCTGCGTCTCAGGGAACCAAAGGTCACTTTTGGTCCGCGATTAACCCACTATCTGCCACCTGGAGACGCGCCGCGTAACCTCGCGACTAACCGGTTCGAGATCCCTCATGTGAGTTAGGGAATGATAAATTTAATAATGGTGGAATGTATAAGGCTCATTATGTTTCCTTACTAATCATCACTAAGAGCTTCAACCAATTCGACAGGCCGAAGCTTCGTGAGCAAAGTGAAAAGCTTACATTAAAAAACTTATGGACTGGATAGTGAACTAGATATATTATTTTTATGACCTTATAAACTGATCTTCTTAAGCCGGCGCGAGGTTGGTACAGGTCTTCGTTCTTGTTGTCGTTGTTTTTGATGTTGTTGGTCGATGGCTGACGTTTCGGCGACTTCGCCTTCCTCAGAGCCTGGACGTATTTTGTATTAGAATATTTTTATTATTCGGTGGAAAAAAGGTTAAAGTATTAATGAAGATCAAGCTTTCAAATAGACGCCATACTAAGCAGAAAGGCCACTCACCGTGATGTTACGTGCGGGACTGGCCCACACGTAGTTCACTTGGAGTCGCGAGCAAGACGCCCCAGGGTCAAAATATCATTTTGAAATAGGGCGCCAGGTCACGCGTGATAGTGAGGCATTCATCCTTCCGGTTCATCCTTGGTTTTTTGAAATTTATCCAAAACGCCTCCAGAGTTTTGCGCGTTGATGTTTTTGATTCCTGCGCTAGGATCCGCACATTCACTTCAAAATCATCGCCGTTGTGCTTTTGTGCCCCATGCGTACCTAGAGGGGTGTTTAAACGGATTTTAGCTTTTCCATTTAGATGTTCTTTTATGCGGACACAAAGTGGTCTACCCGTTTCCCCGATATATTCCTCGCCGCATGCATTACATGAGATCAAGTATACTGTACCTAAACTCATGCAATCCCCGTTTCTCCCGTTAGGACAGATCATGCAGTTTTCTGAGCTGCACAAACGATCATAGAGACAGTTTCTAACCAACTGACGGCGTAGGGTAATGAACTAGATAGTTTACGTTACGCTTTTTTAGAAAAGTACTCGTTAATGATGATGGTTAAATAGTTCATAATTTCGAAAATAAGCAAAAAAGTTATAGAACTAGACGCAGCTTCTATAAAGCTGCAAAAAAAACCATGCAAGAAAAGTTTTTCCATCCAGGGAAAAAAGAAAAAGAAAGAACAAAAAAGTCGAAGAAAAAGAAGACAGGTGGTAAAAAGAGTAAAGGGTGTAAAGATAGAAAAGCAGTGGGTAAAGGTGGTGGCGAAGAAAACAATGGATCAAAAAAGCGCGGTATGTCAAACATTTCCATCCTTTCAGTTTTTTTTCTGGTTTCCATTCAGCTTTATTTATCTCTTTATCATTTTGTCACTTCGTCATAAACATCAATACACTTTTTTCCCTCATAACCAATTTTCACACTTTGTCCTTATATAGTCAGATGCATCATATACTTGTCACTAGTGGACTGCTTAAATTTGCTCTATAGATGTAACAATGGGATAAGTGATAAGGCGTTTGATATTGGTCACTCCCTCTCCATTTGACTCCTACGTAGAGATGATTTTCAATTCATATTTGGATCATGCAAAAACTTATAGGATGCTGACGATGTCCAAAATCAGTGTTTTTATCTCTTCAAACAAGTGCAGTGCCAACTCGCCGATCCCGTGGCAGGTGTGGTTGACCTGGGAATTAGTATCGAACAACCGACCACTTGTGCACTAAAACGCCTCTCTAACCACTACGCTGCACACTCTGACTGCGTCCTTAACGCCCGAAAATATTGGAGACACTGGACGACACACTTTGTCCCTTGTCCCAGAAGAGCAACGCTGTGAGAAACGACTTGTTTGGAATTTGCGGATTTTCGATTAGCACGCCTCAAATATGCCTTTCATGCTGGGTGAAAACACATTTGGAAGACCACTGAGTTCTAAAAGTCGTGAAAAAATTTCGTAAATACGTAGATCACCTATAGCCTAATAGGTTTTGTGATTCTCTTCATCTAGTTTTGATTTTTTCAGTGAAGAAACACAGTAAAGAGCGGCCGAACCAAGAAGCGCGTCGTCGCCATTCTGTCGGTGCACCAGTGCTCATTAAGAATGCTGCTTCTGATAAACCATCTAAGAAACACTCTAAGCAACGGAAGACCTCCAAGGATCAACAGTCAGGGAAGCAGAGAAAAGACCGTCAGCAGAAAGACAGCAGTGGTAAGAAGCAACCTCGAGACAAAAAGATAGGTGACAGTGATCGGAAGACGAGCATGTGAGCACGTGCAATTTACATTTTGCTCTAGGTTCCGTAACACAGACGATGTTGTTGTTGCCGCTTCTGGCTCAAACTGTTCGCTTCAGTCATACTCACTAGCGAGCGATGACATCGTTACTATGGCCGTACAGTACTCTCCTAGATCGACTCATTAGTTCTTCTAATCTAACTATGAAAGATGTGGAAAAAATTGGGAAAAGCACCACTTCTGTCACTTTCTCGGGTTTTTAAGAACCATAGAAATCCAAACAAAGATGTTTCAGCGATATTTTTTCAATAATAATTTTCGACAAGCCGTTCTCTTTTTTTCTGTAGTTTTCGAATTATATCCGTATCACAATTTTAACTTATTATTTACTGCCTACTCTTTTTTACGGCGGGGTATATATTGCGAAATATAACTTTAATGATGCTGAGATATTTGCAAAACTCCGGACCGCAGGCGTCTGCGGTGGAGAACGAACGCGCTATTGTCCTTTCCGGGGAGTAACGCGGTCACCACTACACCATGCGGGTCCTTCGATAAAACTAGCTGAGAAACAAGCGAAACGAAGGACCCGCATGGTGTGGTGGTGAACGCGTTAACCTCTGGAAAGGTTAATAACGCGTTCGTTTCCCACCACAGACACTTACGGACCGGAGTTTTGCAAATATTTCAGCATCATTAAAGCTATATCCGTATCATTATCTTTACCTCTACCCTTAAACTAGCACTTGTTTTCAAAAACTTTTCCGTCATAAATTTGAACGTATTTTTGAAGGTCGAGTTTCAATCTTAACTCTTTTATTTACTGCCTTTTTCTTCTTAATGGCAGGGTATGTTGTGAAATATAACTCGTATGAAGTGCTGAGATATTTGCAAAACTCCGGACCACAAGTGTATGCAGTGGGGAACGAACACGCGCTGTTGTCCTTACCTGGGAGCAGCGCACTTCACCACTACACCATCCGGGTCATGGTGGAGTGGTGAAGTGCGCTGCTCCCTGGTAAGGACAACAGCGCGTGTTCGTTCCCCACTGCATACACTTGTGGTCCGGAGTTTTGCAAATATCTCGGCACTTCATACGGGTCGAGTTTCATTTAACATTTGCGTGAACAACCGTTCGTTGTTGTATTCATGAGCTCACACGAAGTTGTCAACAAAAGCTCTTTGGTCTTGTTAACCAAATTCGATTACCCAAGTACAAGGTTTCCTCGGATCCATATCGTGATGAAAACCTGGATAGGCCCTTGCAAGGGTAAGACAGGACCCCACAGAGCATGGAACTGCTCAACCAGTAGTAGGCCAGCCTCAGTAAGCCTCACAATGGGTGCTCCGGTTTATAACCTCGGGCGGTGAGACGGCCACAAAATCTCGGGCTACGCAGGAAGTCACTGAGACGGGATCTGACGAACACACACACGAAACACCGTGGAGATGGTTTCCTAATCTGCACGGGGTCGGAAATTTTAGTTTAAAAGGAAGAAATGAGAATGGAAACCGTCTCGCAGAACTTCTATCTTAAGCACGTCTCTTCCACGGAAATTCGATTTTCCAGAAAAAAAAGTCGCCGTTGGGCATGGGAGTTTCTCGACCATATTCTGAGAAACAGATGATGGTGTCTACTTAGTGCATCGGTAGACCAGTTATTTCATACTGATTCCAATCACCGTCTTCACGCGAAAGTTCGATTCTACAGTAAGCTGGAAAAGAATTCATGTTCTCGACCACGAGAAAAAAGTCTAGCTGCATACAACGAGAAGATTTTGTAAAAATCCTATCCCAATCCCAACGTGACTGGCAGATTAAAGAAGACCTGACCGATAACTACGAGCTGCCTAATTCGCGACAATTCCCCAAGCAAGAAGATCAGATCGCATCGCCATTGCCACTGAGTTGCTCGAACGGAGAAGAAAAGTGAAAGTGAACTTTGATCCTACTAGAATACGTTTACTACGGCTGGTAAGAAATGCCAGCTGCAGATGAACTTTGCAAAAAGATCTACATTAATAGCATAACTAGGAGCACAAACTACTGTAAGTAGTATAAAAAATAACCAGGATAAGAAAGTCTAGTCGACGAGATTTCTGCGATTATAACGTTTCGCTCTTAGCCCTGTTGGACGAAGATGGGATCACCGAAGCTTCCCACCATCCCGGACCCTAAAATCTCTGCAGGAGGAAAACCACCTGGAAGTTCGGAGGTACGAGTTGCGATAGAAAACATGAACATGGAGACAGCTCGAGGACACGATGATATCACTGTCGACTTCCTCAGATCTGGAACCCACAATTTAAATGTACTCACAAACCATGTGGCAGCCTAACTTCAAAAGAAAAATGTCGCCAACCAGTGGATGACGTCGCGCACGGTCATCCTGCCCAAGAAAAGTGACTGAAGCGATCTTCCTAACTATTGTCCGATATGCTCACTGAGTGTACTCGTACTCTACAAGCTCCTCACGAAAATTATCCTCTCTTGCATATCAAGGACACTCATTGGATTAGAACTTCTGTCTAGAACTTCTGTCTAAGGCATTTGTCGACCTTCGCTTCCAACTCCCTCATGACCAGATCAGAGAAAGGAAGACTGCTCTGGCAAACATTTTCATACCCTTCGTCTTATTGCACTCATGTAAACTTCGAACGGAAGCAGCACACAAAGAGTTCCGATTGCAGAAAGCGGTTTCCATAACAAAGGCTGTTTGTGTCAACCAGTTTCTCAGAATAAAATGAAAACAGAAACATACTGCAAGATTGTAAAAGCGATATAAGGAGTGGCGAATTTGGTTACTCTAGGAACATAACGTACGATAAAATGAAGGAATAGTAACTATTCTGGCAATATTTTGCTTTTTATTTTCTGCCTACTACAATTTTTACGGCAGGGTACAAAGCGAAATAAAACCACAACGTTGCTGAGATATTTGCAAAACACTGGACCGCAGGTGTATGCGGTGGGGAAAGAAAGCGCTATTACCCTTTCCGGGGCTAACGCATTCACCACCAAACCATTTGGGCCCTTCGTTTCGTCTGCCTTTCAAGGAGCCGCATAGTGTAGTGGTGAATGTGTTAGTCGCCGAAAAGGGTAATAGCGCGTTCGTTCCCACGGTAGACACCTGCGGTCCAGTGTTTTGCAAATATCTCAGCAACGTTATGGTAGTATTCTGGCAATAGTTGCTATGGTTATGATCTTCTCCTGTATGGTAGTTTATCAATTCTCATTAGAGTTTTGTAAAATACTTAACTCGTATTTTGTGCTAGTTTTACACTTAGTCATAAATCTACCAGTTAGTTATGTCGTCAGTGGTCAAGATTCTTTGTAAAAATATACTTTAAAATGTTGTCATTTGGTCAGAAAGCGATCAACTAGTGACAAAAAGCATTGGATTCTAGAAGAATTTGTGGAACCAAGGAAGCAAAAATTGGAGAAAAAAGAGAAACCGTAAGTGATTTTCTTTCATATAAGCAATCATGTCGGCATAGAGCTGCTCAGTGTGCAAATCCATGTTTAGCACAACTATCACAGCCAATGACGGAAATAAAGCACTTTCCGGATTTCGCGCTAAACCTGAATATTCATAGTCTTTCGCTTTACAACTTTTATTTTAATGGATCTGTCAAGGAATGGACACAGTAGGATATTTGCTTATGGTCTGCACTGTGAATTTTGGCGCGTATCGTTGGTATTTCAGAAGGAATCGTTCAAACGTTTGTTGGTGGTAGATGCGGTAGTAGTAGAAGTGCCAGATCTACTGCAATGCATCAGAACTTTTCGCTTGAAAAATAAACAAGTTCTAAATCCGCCAACTCTATAGTTTGCCTGGAAAGATCTATGCTAAGTCTTCTGTATAACTTTATCTTAAAAATATTTACAGGCTGCCTACTATCCTATGTCTAAATTGGCGACTGTTGAATACACGATATTGTCACAGGAATTGGGTCCTTTTCTTGAGTATCTTACTTGGAAAAGGCCTTTCTATAGCTAATAAAAGTCAAAAAAAGCTGGTAGACGGCATTTACATAGCAAACTATTATGATTCGCCTTCTAGTCCTAAGGGAGTCAGCGGCGATAGAAGTGGTTAGGAGATCTTTTACAGTCAGTCTTTTACAGTCAGCAGTCATGCAATCACATTCTTAACCTTTCTATTTACTGCCTATTCTTTTTAATGCCAGGGTGTGTTGCAAAATATAACTGTAATGATGCTGAGATATTTGCAAAACACCGGACCGCAGGTGTCTGCGGTGTGAAACGAACGCGATAATGTCATTTCCGGGGAGAAACGCGTTCACCACCACACCATGCGGGTCCTTCTTTCCGCCTATCTCTCAGCTAGTTCTATCGATCTTTTGCCATCAGCAATCACCCGTCAACGGGATTGCCTCGTGAGTCCAAATCGGCATTGAATCCATTTAAGCTGACGCTATAGTTATAAGCACAATCATAACCTTTTTATTTACTCCCTATTCTTTTTAATGGCAGGCCATCACCTGTATCACCTGTAATCTTGTTGATCATCAGGTGATTCGACCGGGCGTCAGCAAATCTTCATTTTTCCTAGTCGCGTGCAAGAGTAGCCCAGTGGGTTTTGCTCGCTCTAGAGACTGGTCGAGCATCATATCTTTCTTCAAGACTCTTTGTGAAGAACTCTGATCATCGGGTCGGTGGTCTTCCCGCAGTAGGTTTGACATCCCGAGGAATCCAATCACTAACGGCTCTTGTCCATCGGTTGTCATTCATACACATTACGCGGCCCACCTTATCTTCGACTGTTGACGTACAGAACGGCATCACTGATTTTTGATCGTTGACGCAGGTCGGAGCTCCGGATCCCATCCCTTGCTTGTGTGAAACGGAATACTCCTAGCATCGTCCTTTCGAGTGCGCCTTCGATAACGCTGAGTGATCTTTCACCCTGCTTACGCAGCGACCAGTTCTACGGATACGTTAGGGCAGGAAGTACCATTGAGTCGAAAAGGTGGACACGGAGTTAGGTGTTCTTTGTTCTCTTCACCACATCCTCGATGGTCTTGAAAGCTTCCCAGGCCGCTCGTTTCCTTCTGCTCAGTTCGGAAGCTAAGTCGTTCATCATATTGATTTCCCGGCCTAGATAGACATAACTGGAGCCTTCGTAGATATTCGTTTCATTGAGCGTGAATGGTGCATACGAAGCCAAACCGTTCCTCATGAACATCGTTTCTGTGAGATTTAGTCGAAGACCAATCTTTCCACAGGCTTTATCAAAGTCGACGAGCATACGTTCCGCTTGGCTAATGTTTGGTGTTATAAGGACGATGTCATCAGCAAAGCGAAGATGATGTAGCTGCCGACCATCGATTTTCACTCCAATATTATCCGATTCCAATGTTCACATGACGTTCTGGAGGGTGGCGGTAAATAATTTTGGCGAGATGGTAATCGCCTTGCCTAACGGAATGGGGCTCGTTGACTATCAAGGGCTTCCAAGAGTGCTTCTATTTTAATTAAATCAAAGGCCTTCTGTAAATCGATGAAAGTGAGACAGAGCGGTCTTTTGTACTCTCGCGATACCTCAATGAGCCTTGTTACCGTGTAGATATGGTCCATCGTACTAAATCCTTCTCGAAATCCTGCTTGCTCACATGGATGTCCTTCGTCTAAGTGTTCTGTCAATTCTGTTTAGGATTACTCGAGCGAAGTTTGTAGACGGCAGACAGCAAGCAAATTGGGCGACAGTTGCCAATATCATGTACGTCACCCTTTTTGAACAATAACACGGTCTTGCTGTTTTTCCACTGAATAGGAACCTTGGATTCAGACAGGTAACGTATGAAGAGCCGAACCAGTGTGTTCGCGAGGACTGGCGGAAGGTTTTTCAGGTCTTCTGATCTTATCCTGTTCGGACCTGGTGCTGTTCGATTTTTCACCGACGAAATGACTTTTCGGAACTCGGAATGGGGAACCAGTGGTATAACATATCCACGCTCCTTTATTTCATATGACGGAAGGTGGACGTGGCTATCGAAGAGACGCTTTAAGATCTTTTATCGTCTGTCAGCATTGTTTGTGTGTTCGGACGTTAGTTCGCAGTTGCCTCATGCGATTCCACGCTGGCGTATCATCTCGAGGAGACAAGCGTCGCTTGGTGACTTTAGAACTCTCAGTTTTCATAGCGCTAACGTGAAGATGTTGAATAAGCCAACGGTATTCTTCATCGATGTTATCGAGAACGGTATCCTCTCAACAGCCGACTAATGAAATGACTAAGTCCCAGTTTATGGTGGTTCTGGGACTTCGGTTTTTGAATTTAGCGGCTTTATCTCCTTCCTGCGAGAAATAGAATCATGCACGAAGGAGACAGTGATCTGATCTCGTGTAGAATTTTGGGACAACAGCGACATCGGTCAGGCAAAACCTTTTATTTACTATGATGTAGTCTATTTCGTTATGGTACTCTCCATTGGGAGACTCCCACGTCCAGCGTTAAGGGTGGGGCTTCTAGAATTGCGAGTTACCATGGATGGTCTTCGTCGTCATGATAAACTCAGACAGCCGCTCACCCTGTTCATTTCCTTCTAATCCGTGGGTCCCAATGTAACATTCTTCAGAGGTTCTTCTTTGTTCAATCTTGGCATTGAAATCTCCATCGATGACCTTGAAGAATGTATGGTCTTCTCTGTAGAACTTCTCCAAGTCCACATAGAAAGCTTCGACTTCTTCTTCGTCATAGTTTGATGTCGGCGAGTAAACGACGAAGATTGTCGAAGACCGTATTGATCCACATCTTTTTAATCGTAAACGTCCGATTCGGGTTGTTAGTTGTTTGAATAAATCCATGTTCATGAACAAACTCGTGTTGACGAGAAAGCCGACGCCGCCGACTCCTCTACTGTCGTGCGTTCCGAGGAGCAGTTCTTCTCCCGTGTCATAGACGGAGTTGAATGGGTGGCATCATCTCTTCTCGGCCAGGCCGATGACGTCGTACCTTACCCTTCTTGTTTACATGAGCAAATCTTCTATCGAGAACTCGGATGCAAGTGTACGTGCATTGTAGGTGCAAATCGTTACCACAGTTTTCTGTCCGGCCCACTTTATCTTCGACTGTTTGGAGTAAAAAACGGCATTTTTGATTTTTGATTGTTGACGCAGGTCGGAGTTTGGGATCCCATCCCTTACTTGTGTGAAACGGAATATTCCTAGCATCGTCCTTTCCACTGCGCGTTCGATAACGCTGAGTGATCTTTCATCCTGCTTACGCAGCGACCAGACCTACGGATACGTTAGGGCAGGAAGTACCATTGAGTCCAAAAGGTGGGCACGGAGTCGAATGTTCTTTGTTCTCTTCACTACCTCCTCGATGCTCTTGACATCTCCCCAGGCCACTGGTTTCCTTTTGCTCAGTTCGGAAGCTAAGTCGTTCATAAAAATGATTTTCCGACCTAGATAGACATAGCTGGAGCATTCGGAAATATTCGTTTCGCTGAGCATACGAGCTGAGCGTGAATAGGGCATACGAAACAATCTAGACAGCTTCAATTGACACTGAGACTTCAGCAGTCTCTACTACCCAACGCTGCGAAATTGGGGGCTCTTTTGGGGTCAGGAGAATGAGGCCCGTTTTTTTTTTACTGTGTTTAACATTTTGATATCGACGTATAGCTTGCTGGGTTCTGAACGTGGCGGCTGGGTATACTCACGAGTAGCTTGCCAGGCTCTTCCAGAGTGGACATGGAGCTTATTTGTTGGGGGCGACTCCTAATCGCCTCCGATATACTTCCCTGTTACTTGATTGTAGGCTTTTGGGCGAATTAACTCGTAGAATATAATCCGCATAAGCGAGAACATAAGCGATATGCATGAATACGCCTAGCAAATACAGAAAGTATGTGCCAAATCAGCGCAGCAGAAACAGCGAGTCTATCCCCTGGATCCACCTGCCTTTCAGGGAAACAAAGATCACTTTTGGTCCGCGATTAACCCACTATCTGCCACCTGGGGACGCGCCACGTAGCCTCGCGACTAACCGGTTCGAGATCCCTCATATGAGGGAGGTCCGTGATGTTAATAATGGTAGCCTGTGTTGCGAAATATAACTTCAATAATGATGAGATATTTGCAGAACTCCAGACCGCAAGTGATTACTGATGGCAAGTGATCGATAGAACTAGCTAAGAGACAGGTGAAACGAAGGACCCGCATGGTGTGATGGTGAACGCGTTACTCCTCGGAAAGGGCAATAGCGCGTTCGTTCCCCACCGCAGAGACCTGCGGTCCGGTGTTCCGGAAATATCTCAGCTTTATAGAATTTATGCAATCTGTATTGTATTCTAACAAAACCACGTATTGCTCCTTCATCTCATTCTAAGATGAACTCATACAGAATTTCTCTATGAAATAGAAAACTCTCTGTTTACCTAACAAATAACCACGATGATACTGAGATTTTTGCAAGACTTCAGACCGCAGGTGTGTGCAGTGGAAATCGAGCACGCTTTTACGCTTTCCAGGGGCTAAAGCGCTCACCACCAAACCATTTTCATAATTCCGTGTACTCAATAAAAGAACTCTTTCTGACGACACGACCGAGAGCGTGACCTGGCGGCACCACAACTATGTAGCCCGGTTGCCCAGTGGCATAGAACTGCAGCTATTTTTTGTCATGTCGTTCTAAATAATCTGTTTAAGCAAGTGAAGGATTTTGTGAATGACCTTCTCGCCTGTCTGTGCAGTTGGTTTTAACTCAGTTAACCGAGCTGAAAACTCTATTCTAGCTTGTGGTTATTCCAGTCCTTCTCCTAGGTGTCATAATTCACGAGTTTTCATTAGAACGACTTTTCTAAATTCGTGTCTGGACACAACTATCCATCTGTAAGGATGTAGCTATCATCCACATGAGTGCCACCATCATGTTTAGCAATAGCATCTCTACCTCCCGAAGAATGAATGTTTCAGAGGAAGGTGTTGTAGACAGAATTCGAACACGACGATTTCTACTCTCATATCCATGGGTGCTCGTATATTCCGCTTGCAGATTTCTTTGTTCTAGCGTTGAAAACTGTGGTAGTTCAGTAGAAGGAAATTTTGCTTGTGTGTCTTCCAGAGTAGTTAATTTTGTAATGGAAGCAAGTTTAATCCTGGTAGTCAGTTAATTTGTGGTCCAATTATCTAAAAGCTTTGAATTACATTGAGAATGGCTGACACGATGCTAAGGTAGGAACAAATGAAGAAATAAACAATTATTTTGCCTCTATGAAAATAACTAGTGCCGTTGATACTTGTTTGGAAAAAGTTTGCAAAAAATTTTGAAACACATCACCGTAGATAAGAAGACCGTATTTTATGCTTTCTGTGAATAGCTATAGCCTTTTCCTTTTAGAAAACTTGACTCTCTGTCAATTCCACAAGCTCACCCTCCCATTGCTGGTGCTAGAGCCAAGGAACTGAAAACGTGAGTACACTGGTATTTCTTCGCACTATTATGTGACTAAGGGCGCGTGTGGCGCAGTGGTTGGAGACGCCACTGCGACACAGACGTGGAATCAATTCCAGCGCCCGTTGCCCACCAAGCCTTCTATCTATCAGGAGTCGGTAAATTGGTACCGGACTTCTCTGGGAGGATACCAGCACTGGGTCGATACATCGGTAGGCCACCGCGAGTCATTGTAAAGGCCAGATATGCATTCAATCACCTCCAACGATGCTTAATGAAGTCGAGTGTTGATCGACGTCGAGATCGACTAACGCTTTAGAGCTTTATTATGTGACTACCACACTCGGCTGGTTTACACTTCTACGTTTTCTTTGACGTTTCTCGATGTCGAACAATGCGCATATTTACAATCTGCAGATGACGTCCAGTTCCATAGAAGTGTCGTCGGGGGAAGGAGTACGATGATTTCATCCGTAGCGCCAGCTAGGAGAAACCTTTGCAATAGCACAGCGAAATCAGATACCCAAGAGAATGCCAACGAGAAATTCTGAGTTTATGTGAACGGTTATCGATTAGCAATTGGAAAGTAGAGTTTGATACCGTATAGCGGAAACGAGGTGAAGCGAATTCTCATTCGTTTTTGCTATATTTTTCCTCCAAAATTCCTTTGTACTGTTTTAAATGCAGAACTGGAGAGCTGGATAACTGGTGACAATGGCAACAGTCAGAAATAAAACCACGTATAGTTCGTAGCTTCGAGAGCAGTGATCACCTTTCTTTTGCAAATTTTATAATCCTGTTTAACCTATTTACCTAATTGGATGGTTTTCTTTAGACCTGTTGTTGGACCAGAAGATGTGACTTCAACGCCAATTCCACTTAAAGCGCAGAGGCCTGAACCACAAATGTTTAAATCATCGCTAACCTGTCCTCCGACTTCGCCTCCACGAAAAGAACCGAAACCGGCGTCACAGAAACCGTCAATTCCGCCACAGCAGAAAAAAGAGATAAAACAGGGGATAGGCGAGGTAGCCACATGCAGATACGACATTGGGTTGGAAGCCTAATCGAAAAGACCTTAAAATAGCTTTCTAGGTGTATGGTGTTCGGCCTGAAAAACCAGATTTGATCCCGATAACGTCCGCTAAGTCAGTATCACCCGCGCTTCAAGCGACTCAACGTGAAGATATCGTGCCCTCCGATGAGATGAAAGTAAGGAACGGTTTAATTTCGCCTCTGATTAATATCATTGAGATAAACTTGGGCAGCATTATATGTTCATTTCGAACGCTCAACAAGCAGCTAGATGAGAGGACGTGAATGAGAAACAGAGCAATCACAAAAAATTTCTTGATACATGTCACAGTACCTTGAACTAATACCATATGTAGAACTTGTCATACAAAATATAGATATTGATTAATAACTCGAAAAACCGACTTTCTATAAACTTCGGCATAGATAGTTGATATATTTATTTATGCGATCTTATAAAGTGATCTTCTTAAGCTGACGCGAGGTTGGTACAGATCTTCGTTGTCGTTGTTTTTGATGTTATTGATCGATGGCTGACGTTCGGCGACTTCGCCTTCCTCAGAGCCTGGACGTATTTTATGTTAGAATACTTTTTATTATTCGGTGGAAAAAAGGTTAAAGTATTAACGAAGATTAAGCTCTCAAATAGACGCCATATTGAACAGAATGGCCACTCACCATGATGTTACATGTGAGACTGGCCCACACGTAGTTCACGTGGGGTCGTGAGCAAGACACGCCCCGGGGTCAAAATATCATTTTGAAATAGGACGCTAGGTCACGCGTGATAGTGAGGCATTCATCCTTCCGGTTCATCTTTGGATTTTTGAAACTTATTAAATTTTTAAATACGTCCAGACTCGGTGGGGCCGAAACGTCAGCCATCGATCAATAACATCAAAAACAACGACAACGACAGCGAAAATCTGTGCCAACCTCGCGTCAGCTTAAGAAGATCAGTTTATAAGATCACATAAATAAATATAGATATTGATTGACCACGATAATGCTTTGTATCAGATAAGCACTAAAAAACAGCGTGATCCATATCAACTACTGGGAAATTTGGAAGTATAGGAATCACTTAGTGATATGGTTTTTGCCTTTCCCCCACCTTTAATTTTCTTTAAGTCAGCAAATAACATATGAATGCTTTCTTGGATTATTTAGTTGGTGGGAAGTTGGTACAAAATATTTGTTCAGCTAACGTTTTGACGTCTTCTTCTTCGTCACACCCGTATTGATCCGAGTCGATGAAAAACGAATAGTTTATCGCTTCAGAAACGAATTCTACAAATCATTACTTAACTGTCGTTGGATGTATATAATTTTAGTAGTTCAACAGAGTGCTTAAACTTTTAGGCAGCGTAACAGCGAATATTTAGACTGCTGCGCTTATGTCACCTCCGAAAGAAGCCATGGCACCACAACTAAGTCAACAACCTGTGTGCCAGTTTGATGCTCTTCAAACTCCCCAACCGTCAACTGAACCACGTCCATCGCTCCCGTCAGTATTTCCGTCAGCGCCAACAACGAAGTCTGCACCACAACCACAACAACCACCGTCATCATCAATCAAAGTAGAGGTGCCACCACTTTCACAACCCCTTAAAGCACTGCCACCACCACCAGTTACAACCCAGCAAACCGGTAAGACTAGGATGAGCTTCTGTCAGTGGTTCTTGTCTGTGTAACTATCCTTCCTACTCATTTACAATGAGTAGATTCATTTTCAGTATCCGACAATTTACGCGTTAATATTGACGAAATTTTACGTCTTGGGGCGATTATGGAACGGAGAGGACTGAGCACAGATAAGAAGGTACAGCATGTCATGAAAATTTAGACAAATTCAACTTCTTGAACCAATTTTCCTACCTGATATTTGGATAATTATAATGCAACATATGAGGAACCAAAATAAATGAAAACGTATTCTGTTGTATTGTCGAAGAACAATACCGATTAATAGTTTTTTGGAAAGTTCTAGAAGGTTAAAGGTTTGGCATGAGAAATGACCAAGAGGTGCCTAAGGAAGGGAGGTTTAAACTGTTAAAGACACAGAATGGCGAAAGATTCATCACCAGTCAAGTACAAACGCGGTCTTGTATAGATTCAAGTGCTATATGCAAACGGACGCGAGGATGTAGAACCACGTATGCTTTACATCAGAAACATTTGATAGTATTTCCATGAGATGTAGCTTTGTGAGGTGGTAAAGAACATTCTCCGCGAGATCTACCTCTGCGAGTAGTCTACGCAAGTTTTGTGTTATATTTTTCTCTACTTGTTAAGATGTCGTTCGAGTGGATTGCACTAAATCGTCATGTCATCCAAAAACAACCGGAAGCATTCGCCGCACATCTTGTCACAGCTGTGGGAGACGTACGACTAGAGAGGTGAGTTGGCTAAATTCTTATTCACAAATCGAGACTATTCTATAATCAGATCGTAGATATAACCGCATATTTTTTTCATGAACTCTTGCATCACTGTTAAATTTATCCCTTCAGTGTTCACTGGACTAAATGATCACTTTGTAATAGGGATTTCAGAAAAAAATGTACACCGGCTGGTTTCAGATCGTTAGCATGTGATGCGTTAAACGTGCTGATGTATCAGCGCACGATCTCACCAGATGAATATCTACGACTGTGTCAGCAACTGGAGAGCTCACAACAGATCACCATCGGCATCCTGGCTCAACTTCTTCGCACTAACACTCAATTTTACAACAGCCTCGTAACACACAACCTGTACTAAACGATCAACATTATTAAAATAAATGTCCTATTACTTCTGCGTTCGTTGATAAGAAGGTATTTGTAAATATTAGAATATTAGTGCGCGTGTAACACAGTGGCTCGAGGTTCCCAGTTGTACACACTGGATCGGCCGCTTCTTCAATCCAGCGCTTCAGACTCAGCTTGAATTCCTTCCCACTGATCAAAATGGTGTTATAATTGCCTGAGAGGATAAAAAACAGTAACTCTTACGACATCAGGACCTCACCACCAATCATTGTGTCGACTAAATGTGCAATTCAGACGCCTCTACAGTGCTTCATAAAGTCGAATGCATGGCGCAACCCACAGTGAGTTTGATCACCATCGAACATCTTAACCCTTAGAGACGGGAACTTACGAGAGTTCCTCAAATCATGAAGTCTTCCAGTTAAATGGTTGTGATCAGCCGCATAGAGTAATACATGGGCGAAGAAAAAACAAAAGAACACCTAGTCGCTAAATCTAAATTGGAACCAAGCACTCCACAAGGCTCGCATAGAACACAGAAACACATTGGAGAAAATTTTGAAGCAGAAGTTTCTTTCCTCGCACGGCAATCGAAAACATCAGCGCGTAAAACTCTTGAAGCGTTTTGAATTAATTCCAAAGATTCAAAAATGAACCACAAGGAGTGTCGTCTTATCATGCGTGACCTAACACCATACCTCAGGCTGATTCTATGACCTGACCAGACACATTCCCAGCTCATGTATTACTCTGTGCGGCTGCTCTTCGCCAACTAACTTAAAAACTTACAACGAGCAAAACGGTGGGTATTTGGAAAAAGCTAAACTCTGTTTGTTTAGCTGAGTGGATCGCGTGTCAATTTGACCCTTCCGGGCCCTGAAGGAGACGAAACGGCCGAAATGTCAGCTATTGTGTGCTGACAAATTCTACAGTACCAACCTCATGTTTGCTTATCGAAGAAAAACAGTGAATTATATGCATCCAATCACTTTATTATATAAATAGAGCAAAATGCATGGCGCATCGTCCATCGGTTCATCTGCGCCAAACGCTTTTGTTTTCATAACTTTATAACAAATTCTATGGTTATTGGCTGGATTTTCCATTGAACCTTCGATTAACAACTTTTGCTACTACGACATAACGGTGTAACTTTACAATCACTTCTTCACTAGTTAATGCTACCAAAAAAAAACCATATTTAATACATTGTTTAATTCCCTTTATTTCATATTTATAAGTAATCCTTAACTGACACTGGTTCACACTGTATTTTGTCAACAGTGCTTTTTTGTTCTTTCTTTTCGTGAGCACTTTTAACCCTTCCTTTTTACACCACTTCCTGCATTTGATTCGTCTTCTTGGATTCATCACCGACGAGCGGTTGTTGCTTGATGACTTTAGTCTTCTTCATGAATGCCATTGAATGCTAGTCGAGTCGAATTCTGACTACAATCCAATGAAAGAAATGATCCAAGAATAGCTGCTTTATATTGTTCAAAATTGTTCACTAGAGGCAATCGTTGGCCTCCGCTGATACGGGCGAGTCCCGAAGGGACGGAAAGCTTGGTGATTGAACCGAGGGGACTTGAACCAGAGACCATGAGTGTGTTTTACGACATCTTTAACCAGTGCGCTTCCAGTGTCGCGATAAGAAGCTAGTAGCAATGAGAACAAGAGTGCAGCAGGCTCGGAATCGAGTGCATGAGAAATTGAACGAGACCATTTATTAGTTTACAGTAATGTGGTAGGCTTCCACGGCGTGGATTTGATGAATCTGCAAGTTGAAATGCTCTATTTAAATATTCTCTCACCAGTGTTATTTCACACAAAAATTTTTAGTACTTGTCTTTTATTCATTTTGTCCATAACGATAGAAGTTCTACGGAGGTTTTATGCACACATCTAATATTACGGGCGCGTGCGGCGCAGTGGTAGGAGGTGCTCTGCAACACACATGTGGAATCGATTCAGCGCCCATGACCCACCAAGCCGTCCATCCCTCCGAAGTAGCAAATTCGTTCCCGATCTGTCTGTGAGGATACCAACACCGGCTCGATACATCAGTAGGCCGCCGCGAGTCATTGGAAAGGCCAGATATGCACGCGCTATTGTCCTTACCGGGGAACTAAGGGTTAAGATTGTGATTATAACTAAGCCTCAGCTTAACTGGGTTCAATGCCGATTTGGGCTCTCCAGATCAATCCCGTTGACGGGTGATTGCTGATGGCAAAAAGATCGATAGAACTAGCTGAGAGACAGGCAAAACGAAGGACCCGGATGGTGTGGTAGTGAAGTGCGCTGCTCCCCGGTAAGGACAACAGCGCGTGTTCGTTCCCCACCGCATACACTTGCGGTCTGGAATTTTGCAAAGATCTCAGCATTATATACGAGTTATATTTCGCAACATACCCTGCCATTAGAAAGAAAAAGACAGTAAATAAAAGGGTTAGGACATGCCTTCACATTATGTTAAAAGTTCATTTTTTTAACCACTTTTGAGCTCTGCAATTTTGGATACCAAGAACGAATTTTCGCCAAATTTCCTTTTACGTAACTCTCATTACTGGCTGTCCATTAACCTCGCATTGATCGAACAATTCTTTACATTCTCGTTCATCAAGCACGATGTGTTACTCTATTTCTTTATTTACGAACAAGCTGAAGTTTCGGCGGATTTCGCCCTCTTCAGAGCCTGGAAAGGTCAAGTTGACTGCCATCTACCAGGCCAAATAGCTCCATAGCCAAACAGTGAAAAAGCTAAACGAAGATTTCAATCACATTGAGCACAGAATAGCTTGTTTGCCTATTCACCGCTTTCAATGAATCTTCCACTGAATATGTCACGTGAAGACCAACCACACAGAGTTCATATGGAAGCGTAATGTGCACCTTCCATCAGAATAACAGGTTTAAGTACTGCCTAATATCATGCGTCATAATGAGGCATTCCTCGCTGCGGTTCATCTTCGGATTCTTGGAATTAATCCAGAATGCCTCGAGAGTTTTGCACGCTTGTGTTATCGATTCCTGTGCGAAAATCGTAACCCGCACATCACAATGCTCCCCGTTATGTCTCTGCGTCCTGTGCGTGCCTAGTGGAGTATTTGGTTTAAGTTTACCAACTAGGCGTTCTTTTATACGGACACAGACTGGTCTACCCCTTTCGGCAATGTATTCGTCCCCTCACGCTTTAGAAGTGATGGACGCTCATACAGGCAGTTACGAACTAGCTGGCGTCTTAGAGTGTTCGGTGGCATTTCAATTACGGTTACCGAATTCCCTAGACTGGCCCTTCTTAAGTAGCATTTTGCAGCTGCACTTACTTCATTTAAAATGAAGGTCAGGATAAACGGTACCTTATTGCCGCTAGAGTTGTTGTTTGAGTGCCTAGGGTTTCCTCTACACCTATCCCCTTTAGAAATGGCTGTTTGTCGCGCCAAGTTCTGGAATTCTTCCTTCTGCTCTCTTCCCGTGCACACGCTGGTTACTATGCAAAACATGTTTCTTACAAGCGCCCTTTTCGTGTGAGAGGGGTGAGAGGAGAGCTAATGAATCAAGATGTTTTTACAACTTGGCTTTCGGTACCACTTCGTAGTGTAGCCAATTTCTGACAAGTTAATTTGGATGCTCAGGAATTGAAGCCATTTTTTTCGGTTTCTCTCGGGTGAACTTGAAATACTCTGACTGTGCATTTAACAACTCGAAACATTTGTTCCTTTCCTCTTGTGTTGAGCAAAGGGAAAAACAGTAATCTATATACCTACAGTAGAGTAGTGGCACGAGATCGGTCACCGGTGTTTCCAACTTAGACACAAACGCAATGGCAAGACTTGGTGCTAGTCGTTGTCCCGTTGCCAACCCTCTTATTTGAGCGTAGTACTTTCCAGACCACCTGGAGATTGAGCAGCTCAAGCATTCTTTTAAGAGTGTCATCAACTGCTCTGTCTTGAAGCCATACATGTTTATTTCTCCTTCGTATTGTATAAGGAGTTCGAATATGGCTTGCATTGCGGAGTCATTCGACACGCTTGTATAAAGGATGGCAACGTCGAAAGACTCCATTACGTACGCGCTGTTAGGTTACGCAGTACGTAGACGATCTAGAAGCATCTGGATGTTCGTAAGATGGGTTGAAATGTGTTTCAACGATTGGGTAAATATTAGGATTAAAAACCACGTTATCCTCTCCGTTGGCCCGCCTACACATCGAAAGATTGGTCGAGCCTCAAACAATGATGGATCGGTAGACGCAAGATCATCGCTGGATAATAACTTATGAGTTTTTATAAGCAAGTACAAGACGGGACATGGTGGTAGGTCAAATTTTAGTTGAGAGATAACTGATGGTTTTAAACCAGCAGCCCTTGCCATTTCGGCCCATTCGTGGTTCAATTTTCGGTATTTACTTTTAAATTCCTTCTTAGATGATGGGCGATAAAGTGAAGCATTTTCAAGGTGCTTTTTCGTTATCTCGACATCTAACTGATGGGGAATTACGACAAACTTGCCACCCTTATCACTAATGGATAGTCTTAGGTTTTTCAACTTTATCAGCTCTCGTACCTCTCGCATACCACATTTTTGCACTTCTATGAGGTCGCAGCGATGTCTTTTCGAGCGAAATTGATTAAGAACTTTGAAAGTTTCATTCACAAACATCCGAAATTAAATGTCAACTTCATTACTGAGTTTCTGTTGTCTAAAGAACAGTTGAGGAAATGGGGGGTATTGGTAATTCCCCTACCTGCTGTTGATCGTGCCTATTTAGCGCTTCATCTCTAGTTTTTGGGAGCGCAGAAGAGAAGCAGCACTGCAGAAGTTGAATTAGTTAGACTACGAAGCTCTGCTTCATCCCTTATTCACCTACCGACTATCCCTTCTTTGAGAACCATGACAACTTCCTATGCGAGAAATGCTTCAGCAACCACGATGACTGAAAAAATACCTTCAACGAATTCATCGCTTCCGGACCTTCAAAATTTTAAGCACCTGAAATAGATAAACTTG